ACATCATTTGCATGCTCAGTCATGACATACATGATGTCACTCCCCTTCCCATGGATACTCATGGTCACATTTTAAAAGTCAAGAAGTAACAGATACATGCTATAAAGTGATTTTAAATTCTGATATTGTTAATAAAGAGAAATGCAAAATATGAAGATTACTAGAATTCTGCAGTTGAAGCCAAAATTCTGAAGATCTGAATAAACAGAACAGCCAAGGGGCCAGAAGAATTAAAGGTAGGAGAGCCCACTGCCAGAGTTAGGAAAGAACACTAGTTAATTTTCTCTTTGTAAACAGCGCTCACATATCCTAACTAGCTCTGAGGCACAGTCTTCTGTTTGTTTACTGCCATCTAGATAATTTAGTATAGGGAATTCAGTAGCTGAGGCTTGTAGATTTTTGCAGTAACTATCATATGCAATATCATCACTAGGAAACTAGGAAAGTCCTTTGGGGACCTTTTGAAGTTTTTAGTTCAAGTTATGTTAATGTTAATCAAGATTAGAAAATGTTAATGAGTATAGAACCCTAGTGCTAATATTAGTAAGATAGGCAGCTTAAATCAAAGTTGTGTAGCCTGTGATCTTCAAAGGAGCATCATTCTTGATTTTGCTGAGACGGTGGTTAGAATGCTCTTTTCTGATTGGGATACCCAGGGAGAACATCTGGTCAAACCCTTCATAGCTTCTTAGGTACAACTTCTTCCCATGTTCCTAACGCAATTATGTGAATCTTCTTTTGGATTTTCTAACCCCAATCCTTTACCAGAGGACTGATTAATCATAGTTTTGAAGAATATGAGCCAGGAAGTTCCTGGTTTAGATATCAGTTTTGTTAATTCATTGGATAATATTATGACCAAGCTAGAAATTCAACTGGAGATTCATGATATAATTCTAGTCAGGTATTTAGTTTCCATTATATCAGGAAATGCAACAGTGGGAAGTTGCAATTGGGACAGGAAGTATTGTGGGGGCAGATCTGGGTTGGATCAACAACCTGTTCACCTTCAGTTCATTTGGTTAAGTCAGTGAGTGACCATGGCTGCTTTTTAGTGAAAGGAAACCCTCAGGAGATGGTTGCATACATTTACTTTTTCTCCTAGCCAAAGCACAAGAGAATGCATAAACATTTGGCAGAATTAAGAAGGCAAAATTCAAGATACTTGAGAAGACAGGTTTTATTTATAGTCTTTCAGCACTTTGTAGGAGATGTGTTCTTTTGAGCTCTTGCTTGGAAAATTAGAAAAAGAAAATAATAAAGTACAGCTATAAAGCCCCAGACCTTTGCCAGTTTTTTTTTTAAGCAGTTTTATTTAGACCTTTTTGGTTGTCTTAGGTTGTGTTTTTGTTTTCTCTTGCTCCAACCCTCACAAATACTGATCCATTTTGCCGTACTATAAGGAGTAATGACATAGTTCATACAAAATGAATTGGGTTACATCAAGCATCATCTTGCCAAGTTGAATCTGCCTGTCTGGTAAGAACATCACAAGGTGGCCTGTTTGGGTACCTCCTCTACTTAAGGGAAGGAGAACATGGACCAGGTGGCTGGCCTTTTCTGTGCAGTCCTTGTATTTTGGAACTCCTGGCCTCCAGAGGTTCAGGCAGCTCTTCCCCTCCTGAGATTTCATAAAACTGTTAAAACAACATTATTGTACCATGCTTTTAACTAGCATTGAAATAATCTGTTGGCCATCTGGGGAATTTATTTTAATTCTATTTCTTTTATTTTTGCTTTTATTCTGTATCTTTATACTCTGTTGTACCTTACCCAAAGTCTATGGGTTAGGGTGGGTTAAACACACACACACATATACACACACGGAAATAGGCAAGAATTTACAAAGTGTATTAAATGACTCTTGCACTGGTACCTATGTCTACCAGAAATAGATCTGTTTGAGCTTAGTAGGAATTACTCTCACATAAAATATATATATATTGCATCCTTAGAATCTTTATATTTTATATTTATATTTATCTATATACCAAATTTGTCACCGCCCATCTTGTTGAAATGACTCTGGACAGTTTACAACTAAAAATATATATTGCACAACTGCAACTTTTGACAAATCAAGAATTTAATGGGTCATCCACCAGTACCCACCTCTTTGTTTTGAACTTTTGTAGGAAAAGGAAAAAAAAAAAAAGCAGAAGCCAAGAACTGGTGGATGAATTGGTTTCTGAGCTGGTATATCAAGTGATAATAATGTTTTTCTCTTGCTATATACAAGCAGGAAATTCAGTAGAACTCTGTAGTGGTTTTCTTTCTGTCTCTTGAAACACCAGAAGTTGGAATTAGAATGACATACAAGCATTCAGTAGAGAGTTTCAAGTTGATATTGGAGTGTTGCCTATTCTAAAGCAACTAGACTGGTAAAACATAAATTCATTTCAAGAAAAGGAATTAAGTGGGTATTTATGTGTGTATTTATGTTTTAGCTTTCTTCTTCTGGGATGAACTATAGAAAGGCAGGGTTAGCGTTATGAAGATAATATTGTAAAAAGTTGTCATTTTTAAGATTAGGGGGAATGTTTGCTTTGATTTATTGTGTTCCAATGAAAGCACGTTTCAGGTGACACATTTTCCCTAAAAAAGTAGGTCCTCTCACCACACAGGTCACCTATACCTTTGAAGATTATGATTTGTCCCATTCACTTGAGAAATCAGTTGCCAAATTGGGGGAGAGAACAACGTTCCTGTATTGATACAAGTGCAGATTGTCTCGTGAAGGGTTGTCGGCCGCTGTGAAAAAGCAACCCCCTTCCCACCTGAAATTAAAACTTTTATGCTAGGAGAATTTTAAAAAGTAACTAAAATTCATAGGCACTTTGGAAGTTTCATGGTTCTTTGGGGGGAAAAAAACCCTTGTGACTAATGTCAGGTCTTCATGTGTCATGTTGAATTGCTTGTCCTTTTTGTAGCCAAGAGGGCAGTATTGAAAAATAAATCCATTTCTTTATCTTATTCAAGCCACATTCGGTTTGCCATCAGAAACTTTGGTTTCTCCTTTGACTTTGAGCTTTTCTTACCTTCTCATTCATTTCTTGTATCTCAGCATCTCTGTTGCCAACTCCATAGAATTTGGAAGGCCTTGTTTTCTTGAAATGCAGTGCCTGTCAAGAATAAGCTTTTCTTTCCCAGCTTCTCTAAACAAGCTATAGCATCTGCCACGTGGTGAAATTTGCCATTGCAGTTGAAACTAGATTTCTTCCTAAGCATTTTCAAAATGCTAGGTAGTAATGATTGCTAATCTGAAGATTTCATATATTGCTAGTTGAGAAAAGTAATCTCCCCTTGATAAAACATTAAACAAATATGACATAGATCTTGCCCGATGACTAATGTTCTGAGTTAGTCGTCGGAGTTTGGAAACCAAAAATGTAGGTTAGGTATATAGGTGTAGCAAAAGCACTGCATACTTAAACTTGTGAGCATTTTCTTGGATTAACAATAGCTTCAAATGTCTTAACTGCATATGCATTTTGGGGAATCTGCTTGTGTTTCCACCTTCAGAGAAGAAACAGGGATGTCCTTTGCATGGCTATTCGTAAGTAAGCCTCATTGAAAAAGAAAGAACTGTTTTGTACACAGAAAATCTTTGCTCAGTCTCAAGCATCTTCAGATAGGGATGAGAAAGACCATTATCTGCTGCTTTTGAGCTACTTTGTGTCAGTAAAGACAGTGTGCTGAACTAGATGGACCAATGGGTCAAATCAGAATAAAACAGTTTCCTGTATTATTACCATCTGCAGCTACTTGGATTTTTTGCATTTCATTTTCAATATGAGCAAAGTTAGCTGTCTTCAGTTAGCTGCCTTCTTTGCTATTTTCCATGATACATGGCACCTCTTAATAAGAACCGAGATACATGGAATTTTCTAACATGACAAATAGAATAATGTTGATATGGGGGCTACAGGGAAGCACTATATCTTTAATTGTCTCAGGAAATAAAACATCACTGTTCCAAAAATCACAAAGGGGGGGGAGGGAGATCAGGCTCCATGTTACAGGGCTCTTCCTGCTATGTTCATGTAGTCCTAGAACTATTTTTCCTGGGTCTTTTCCCTTCAATTTTCAGTAATCTCTTAATGATGCAGTATTCAAGCAGAACATCCAAATGAAATCTAAGAATCCTATCAAAAACTGCCCTCCTGTATATTGAAACCCCAGCTCACAAAGCAAGCCAAAGGAGATTGTTTAGCACTGCTTTTGAAAAGTCCCATTTTAACCGGTATGCCACAATGACATGCAATCACTAGCTATCAGCTTTTACTGATTTTATATCTGTATTCATCCTGTTGTTTTTATCTTAGTGATTACATTTTCTTTGAATTATTGCAAATGGGTGTTTATGTTTATTTCATAAATTGATGTATATCATCATAAGAAGTGTATTAATGTATTAAATGAGTGAAGATGGAACTAAATGCCCAGATTCTGTCAGTGAGATTCTTCAGGGCATATTAAGTTTTGAAAGGAATTTTGACTAACTCAAAGCAGAGCATTTTTTTGTTTCTTTGTTTTCATGAAGTGAAAGTTTCTGTATGTGCTTGATGTTAGTAGTAAATGTTGTATTACATCCAGTGCATTGAATGGTTTCAATCTATGATCAGAGGTCAGAAGAGATAAAAGTGAAAATGCTGTTTCTTGAGAGCACTTTCTCCTTTGTAAGTGATTGGAAGACTTGTCTGCACTGTTTATCTGGCTATAACTTATTGAGAATGGTTCTTTTCATTTGTGTGTGTGTGTGTGTGTGTGTGTATTGGTGTGTATGTGTTGAAGCTTAACTGTGCCGATGCTAATTTTTTGGTTATATTTTGTTTTCTTGCAGGTTGCATTTCTGAAACTGTAACAGGACCTGTAAAGAAAAAATCCTCCTAGG